GCTCAGCTAGTCGGACATTGAACTAACATTTACTTTGACCTTGATAGTGATAAAGATCATTTGCTGAAACATTTTGTTCAGGAAACTTATCTTTCAACATTGGCTTATAATTTTTTTTATATATATATTGAGCTGCCTTAAATGTCTTTATCCGCATAGAACCTAGCAGTTCTTGGAATGTCATAGGCATTTGGTTTGTACTAACTGATTTAGAAGTTGCATCACCCAAAATTTGAAATAGATGAAAACTCTTTAAATTCCTTTCTTTTATTTGTGAATGGTAGGAGGAAAAGTGTCCAAAGCCCGGAATGAGGATTTTCTGTATTATATACCAGGTGAAGGTGGTTATGATTTGACAATATGTCTTTTTTCTCTCCCCTAATAAAAAGGCAGCTGGTCTGGAGTCTCTATGTCAGGCGATTTTTTTTTTTTTTTTAGAATATGGTGTTTGGGGACATTTATTGAGTGTCAAATACTGTTCTAAGCACTTCACTTGTATTGACTCATTTAATCCTGACAGCAGTTCTTGAGTTAGGTGCTTTAGTATCCCCTCTTTTTTAGATGAGATTAAGCAATTTGCCAAGGCCACGTGATTAGTAAGTGTGATGAAAGGATCTTGCATTTTTGGCTTGGGAGTGGTCTAGAAATTTAGACCATGACTGCCAACTTAATTTCCTAGTCTTATTTCAGAAATGGAGACTTATAAGAACTTAGAGTTTAAGAAGATAAGGGTAACCAAGGAGCTCAGTACTGGGTCATTTTGGGGACATTCTATGATCATTGAGTTATGACATTTTTCTCTTACCATACGTTGCTTCCCTTCTAGTAGATGTATAACCCTTGTTTGTTAATAGAGTAGTGCCATCTTTTTAAATGATGAGCATTTTTGAAGATGAATGTGCACATTGAATCTCATTATAGCAAATAACTAGAATAAATTCATGATGGGGGAATTTTTTGACAGACATTTGTTCTGAGTAATGTTGAAAGTTTCTTGTATTGCATGTGAAGGGCTATCTTTTGAAAGAGGAAAGGGTAGTGGACATTTTCTGAGATGTAAGATAACCCGGAGTTATTTCATCAGGCAGTTTTACAATGTATAGTGTTTTAAAAACGAGCAATTTTCAAACTCCCTAGAGTTTTCTGCCATTTTATCAGGACAGACTTGGACAACACCAATGACTTATTAAGTGCCATACTGACTAATTGGAAGAGTCTTTGCTTATGGTTAGCTGTTCTAAAAGACTTACTACATTCTGGCCTTCATTCTATTTAATGTTTTCATTTCTTTATAAACTCTACTTCCAGCCCATTTTTCCCATTGTCTTGGTACAACTCAGGTCTGTCCAAGTTTGTTAGGGTTTTAACTAGCCAAGGAAATGTTTTTTTCATATTATAGAATCTTTGGTAAAATGCTTGCAGTCGCCCTCGCCGGTTTGGTTCAGTGGATAGAGCATCGGCCCACGGACTGAAGGGTCGCAGATTAGATTCTGGTCAGGTCAAGGGCAAGTACCTTAATTGAAGGCTCAGCCCCTGTCAGGACTCATGCAGGATGCAACCGATTGATGTGTCATGATTTCCTCTCTCTGTCTCTCTCCCTCCCTTCCACTCTCTAAAAAGTTAGGGTATTTTTTTAAATATATCCTCATTGATTTCAGAGAGGAAGAGAGAGGGAGAGAGAGACAGAAACATCAATGATGAGAGAAAATCATTGATCGGCTGCCTCCTGCAGGCCCCTTCCCCCCAATGGGGATCGAGCCCACAAGCAGGGCACGTGCCCTTGACCCAAATCAAACCTGGGACCCTTCGGTCCACAGGCCAATGCTCTATCCACCAAGCCACACCAGCTAGTAAAAAGTTAGGATCAACAACCACCACAACAAAAACGCTTGCAGCCTCAGGCAGTCATGGCATTCAGTATAGGACTTGTTGGTATTGTGAGAGTAAGATTTCTGACCTAATCTAACTTTATTTCAGATTATTATACACTTCACTCAAAACTTTTAGAGTATTAAGAGTTCAAGAAAGATAGGAGAGAAGCAAGACTTGGGCAACTGACAAATTTGTGTCCTGACATGCTTGCCATCCCTCCACCCCCGGCAAACTGTGTATTCTTTGATTAGCAATCAATATAAATTGCTTTCTTTTTCATTTCATCAAGGCCACCACCACATCATCCTCATTTCACCTACTGGTTTTGCTTATTGTTTGTCTCCTACTCTGTATTGTAAGCTTCACAAAGGCAAATAATTTTCTGTTTTGTTCAACTGTTTTTAACCTAGTTTCTAAAACAGTGTCTGCTACATGATAGGCACTCAGATTTTTGTTGAGTTATTACTAACTCATTTTGCTCACTTTGGCCTGTAAAATGACAGGTCTGAATCATCTGAAATCTCAATCTCTATAAAACAGATGGGCTGAGCATTCTCTGATGGGGAGTCAGTTTTATACACCTCAGAGTTGTATTCCTGTTTGAAGAGAGAGGTTCCAGTTTTACCTTAATCCAGATTTAGTACATGGAATGTTTCCTGGTAGAAACAGTAACTAGTAAATTCAGTAACAATACATAGCTCATATTGTGGAATATTTCTGACTTAAATGTAGCCTATAGTTCTTTAAATTTCAGGGTTTTGAACCTTTTAACCTATAATGCTGAGTTCCTTTATATCCTTAATCCAGTCTTGCTGAATATCATACTTTATAATGATAATGATACATGTGACCATGTTTATTTACTACATTAAAACTAAATTTGAGCCCTAACCGGTTTGGCTCAGTGGATAGAGCATCGGCCTGCGGACTGAAAGGTCCCAGTTTCACATCCCCAGTAGGAGGTGTGCAGGAGGAGGCTTATGTTTCTCTCTCATCCATGTTTCTAAGTCTTATGTTTCTCTCTCATCCATGTTTCTAAGTCTCTATCCCTCTCTCTTCCTCTCTGTAAAAAAATCAATAAAACCTAAATTTGAATTGCAGCTTATTTCAAATATTTTCTGTATCACCACACTTTTCTTTAAAAGACTTTATATATATATATATATATATATATATATATATATATATATGTACTTTTTTTTTTTCTGGAGTGAGAGAGAGAGAGTTAGAAACATCAATGATGAGAGAGAATCCTACATGCCCCATACCGGAGATCAAACCCACAACCTGTGCATGAGCCCTGACCGGGAATTGAACTGTGACTTCCTGGTTCATAGGTCAATGTTCAACCACTGAGCCACTGAGTCCTAGAATAGTATGCTTGTACCCAGATTACAGTCATACTATTCTAAAGGCCCGATTCCTATTACATCAAATTTCAGTGATGTCTTGAAATAGAGGAACGTTATCTGGCATTTGGGAACACTTTTATAATAGTGGAACTTATTCATTGCAGTAAGATATTCTTATTTATTTTTGAGTTATAAAATTATCCTACATAATAAAGAGCTAATATGCTGATTAGACCTGATGGCAGAATGACCAGTGGGCAGGACCGCGAGGCAGCTGAGGCACAAGGGCCAAGGCAGCCGGGCCGCGAGGGCCGAGCCCCTCACAGGAATTTCGTGCATCGGGCCTCTAGTTTTGAATAAAGTAATAATTTTTCTTTTGTCTGATTATTTAGCTTCTCACATGAAAAAGAACATAAGCTGAATAAGGGTAATCCCAAATGTTTTTCTCTTTCACATCTTCCCAATTATTCACACTCAAGGCTTTGCTACCTTGGGTCTACTTAAGTCTCACCTGTTCAACCTGAACCTTTGATTCATTCATATGGAATGATTTAAGACCTTTTGTTCCAACTCTAAAGATCCAGCAATGTGGAAGAATGCACCAAGACAACGCCTGCCCTTGGAACAGTTGTTTTTAATCTTTTTTCCCCAGTAAAAACTTGCTAGCTTGGGCAGTTGGAAAGCAGTGTGCTAAATCAATGGCTACAGTGGTGTTAATAACTGGTAAGCCTTAATGTATACTTTTTAGAAAGATATTTTCTGTTTTAAAAGGATTTCTGGAGTTATCTCTTAAGAAATCAATTTGCATAGTTCAGTTTTGGTTGAATTGGCAAATCGGTGGTAGGATTTTGGAGCAGGCAAGCTTTTTCAGTACCTTTAGCTTAAAATGTTGAGGCCATCTGTACATGGGACCAGTCTTCCCAATGGATAGAAGAGAATAATTCTAGTCTGATTTTTAGGCTCAGAGGGATTCACTGTATCTCCTAAAAATCAAAAAGAACTCTAGTCACTGTTTGTTCTTCTCAGATTCTAAGACTGTAGCAGTGGATTTATAGAAGCAGTGTCTTCTGAATTGTTCAGTTTACAGATGAGAGTTTATCAGTACTTCATAACATCAAGTTGTTTTGTATGGATGGCGTTATTTCTGTTAAATAGCTCTACCAAAACAAAGGAGGGGAACTTTCCCAGGTGTCCCAGTCTCATCTCTTCTTTATGCTTTCCCTTTACAATAGAAAAAGCAGACTGAAAAGTATTTGTCATGATTTTTTGTCATTTGCAGTTTGTAGCATGATGTGGCTTTTCTGTTTCACCATTGGCAATTGTATGCATGTCTTATAGGATAACTGTTGGCATTGTTTTTGTTAAATATTTGTGTGTGTATATATACATCCTGTGTGTATATATGTACTTTAAAAAATAAAACGCATGCTGCTTGGCCTGACTAGCTAATGTGTAATTGTACTTGGTAAACAATTCTTTTCTTTCAAATTTCAATCATAGAGGGTCTCTGCTCTGATGAGCCACCTTCAGAAATTAGGACTTCCTCCTTTTTTGCATCTTCTGAAATACATAACACTGACCGTACAATACTCCATGGAGAGCAAAGCAAAGAGTTAGGCAGCCAGCCTATTTTAGCCAAAGAAGGAAAAGGAAAGGACTGCTTGGCTCTTCTAGATGTGAAAACGATGGAAAAGCCTCAGGGGACCAGTAAAGACGGAGCCAACTCCCCAGTTTCTGTTGCAGAAGGAGGTCACTGTAACCATCCTTCCATCCCAGCCAGTTTCCCAGATCGTCCTGCTTTTCTCTCAGAGAAAGTTGTTCAGATGGAAGAGCAAATAAATAAAAATCAAGAGTTCAAGAACCTAAATGAGATACCAAGTAGGGACGACAAAACTGCCTTGGATGCTGATGACAAGTTCATTTTGCTAACTGCCCAGAAACCTCCCACTGAGCCGTCTAAGGCAGAAGGCATTTGTACGAACTCCTTGTCCCCGTGCAGAGTTTCAGGAGGTGGTGTTATTGAGAAGGACTCCCCCGAATCACCATTTGAAGTAATTCTTGACAAAGCAGCATTTGACAAAGAATTTAAAGACGCATATAAGGAGAGCGCAAATGGTTTTGGTAGTTGGGCAATGCACACCGATAGAGAATCATCTGCAGACATTTCAGAGTCTAATGACAAAGTATTTCCACTAAGAAATAAAGAGGCAGGGTGTTACCCAACCTCTGCATTGCTCACTAGACAGTTTTCACACACAACTGCAGCATTGGAAGAGGTGTCTAGATGTGTGAGTGATATGCATAACTTCACTAATGAGATACTGACTTGGGATTTGGTTCCCCAAGTGAAACAGCAGAGTGATAAACCTGACTACGTCACCAAAACTACAGGACTTGACATGAGTGAATATAATTCAAAAATTCCAGTTATAAATCTGAAAACTAACACGCATCAGAAAACTTCTGTGTGTTCTGTTAATGGGAGCACTCCCATCAGTAAATCAACAGGGGACGGGGCAGAGTCATCTCTCTCACAAGAAAATGCTGTCATTAGAAAACCTGTACCGGGCTGTCTCAATTCCATGGCAGACGTCAGTAGTAAAGGTGTGCGAGGCAATGTGCAGAAACAAGACGACACACTTTCAGCGTTACCTGTGTCTCCGTTTGAGAAATGTGTCTCTTTGGGTTCTGGAGGGGCCACAGTGAAAGTGCTTTTACCCGATGGCCCCCTGAAAGGCGAAATGAACTGGCAGAGCTCTGTGTTGGGAGAAGGGACAGAGGCTGATAGTTCTGGTGAGTCTGATGACACAGTAATAGAAGACATCACAGCCGATGTTTCATTTGAAAGTAGCAAAATTCAGACTGAAAAACCTGCCTCCACTTCAAGTGCTATTGTAAAAGCAGATGAAAGAGAAGTCAAAGAAATTCTCAATTATAATAGGGAAACCAAAACATCTGAAACCTTTGAAGGGTCTGTCAGTGACTCTGAGCCAAAAGTTCAGCCTGATTTTCTTAAAAGAAGTCCAGCCAGTATGGTGGCATGTTCCCAAGTACATGATATGATTGTCATGTCAGGAGATGTGAAGCAGTCAGTCAGAATGAGTGAAACTACTCCTGCTGAAAAGGTTGTTATAACTGAGGACCCAAAACTTCCTTCAGCAGCATCTTCAAATCATTTTAATGAGACTGAATTCTCACTAAATGTGACAGCCTCTACCTATTTGGAGTCATTACATGAAAAAAATATTACAGATACAGATGATTCTTCCCCAGAGGACCTGATAGCAGCCTTTACAGAAACCAGGGAGAAAGGAATAGTAGATAAAGATAAAGATAAAGAAGATAAAGATAAAGGAAATGTATTTGAAGCAACATCAGAGAAGACTATGGATTTCAGAACAACTCTTCCTGTAGAAGTCTTGCATGAAAGTGAGTCAGGTGGTTCTGAAATTAAAGACCCAAAAAGCAAATACTCTCAACAAAACAAACAAACAAGTGGAAGTGAGCTTTTGGATGTTTTCCCCACCCACGGTACTTCAGTAGCATCTCTCGACTGGGAACAGGAACAGCTCACAATCAGAGCCCTTAAAGAACTGAGTGAAAGGCAGGGTGAGAAGTTACCAGATAAAATAGAGTCTCCTTCTGAAGAAATACTCAAGCAGACTTTCACATTTGCTCCAGAATATTCTCAGCCACAGAGATCGCACGATGTCCTAGAACATGCCGATGTCAAAACTGGATCTGACCTTGGGATTTCTGAAAAGCCCACTGTTATCAAAGAAACTACTAGCATAGATTTTATTTCCAGCCTTAACAAGACTGAACTGGTAAACAAGCATGCCCTAGCAAGACTTCTGACAGACTTCTCAGGTAACCGTTTCCATTTGAAATACTGCATGCGGTTAATTCTGCTATGATTACTTTATCAGAGTGCCATTTTTCTTAGTCTCTGATTTATATCACCAGATTATGGCTAGGATAAAAACACACTGTAAACTTGGGAGAGGAAGGGTTGTTGTTTTTTTAATGTTTGCTTGGTTTGCTTATACAAATATTTCCCAAAGCAGACCAATTGTTAAAGTTAATATTCTAAAAAAATATTTTTTTATTCCAGTTTTTTCTAGGTTCTCCTTTCCTTATTGGTTGACCCTAGGGTGAACACTGCTTTTAAGAATCTCTTGCCAGACAGGCATGGCTGGGTGGTTGAGGGTCAACCTATGAACTGGGAGTTCAAGGTTCAAGTCTTGGTCAGGGCACATGCCTGGGTTGCGGGCTCGATCCCCAGTGTGGGGTGTGCAGGAGGCAGCCGATCAATGATTCTCTCTCATCACTGAAGTCTATCTCTCTCTCTCCCTCCCCCCTCCTCTCTGAAATAAATAGAAATATATTAAAAATATGTATATTTTAAAAAGAATTTTTTAGGCTCTTATTTACAAAGCTTATTTTAAATCTTCATAATAATAACACTATTTAGCACTTGAGTTTTTTGCTATGGGCCTTGTGCAGTCTATTTGGCAATCAAAGATGAAGGAATTCCTGCTGGGATAGACAGTAAATGAAACTTTTAATTAATTTGATCTTATGCCATAGAGATTTTATGCTCTGAAAGTAGGTAACCTGTATTCTAGTACTATTTTGTGAGTAATACTTAAGACAACTTATGTGTCCTTCTACTTTGGACCTTACTTAATATTGTTCAGGCCGAACTCATTATATGGTACTAGAAGCCCTCCCCTAATATTCTGTTTATTTAAATGATTACTTTCCTAGCAATTGACCCTCAGTTAAAATGCTGTCTTTTCTAGAGTCTTGGAAAGTGTAAGAAAAAAAGGATATTTAAAGCCCTCCAAAAGGGACCATCAACCTCTAACCTGATACCAAGTTCTGTACTTCCTTTGTGGTCAGTGTTAGGTGCATTGTGGGGATTTGTGGTTTTTCAGACTTTTGACAATCCCTTTTTTCAAATGAAATCATAGAGTTATCTAAAACAAAAGTGAGATTTTTGTTAGTATAAACTTATGCGTGATTATACCACTTACCTTTTTTTCTGTAAGGTTTCTTTATGCACAGAGTGGGGAGGGGCTCAGACCTTGGCAGCTGGTTTCCCCTTCTTACAGCCAGAACACTGCTCAGCTCCTCCTACTGGGCTGCCCTTCATGAGGAGCAAATCTCACAACTCTCGGACCTCGTCCCTCACCAACTTGCACTACTTCCATGTGCTTGGTGAGGTGCCCATGTTCCTGGCTGTGCCTCGGCTTCCTGACATTCTTGGTCACTTTGTGGCCCTTGTTGAGGGCCCAAGGCCATAGGGTACCACAGAGCTATGGCTGCTGTGGCAGAAGGGCACCATTTACCGTGTATAGAGGCATTTCTTCGCTGAAGACCATGCGCAGATAACTTGATCTTCCTAAATTTTAATCCTTGCCCGGTTGGTGTGGCTAAGCCATTGAGCGTTGACCCAGGAACCAAGAGGTTACTGGTTCTACCCCAGTAGGGGGTGTGCAGGGGGCAGCCAATTGATGTTTCTCTGTCATCGATGTTTCTATCTCTATCCTTCTCCCTCCCTCTCTCTCTAAAAAAAATAATAACATATTTTTTAAAAATAAATAAATTTTATTCCTTAAAATAGAGGTAGTAATTTATAATAGTATTTTAAAGATTAAATGTGAAAATGCAAGTAACAGTGCCTATGACATAGTAAATATTAAGTGAATGCATTGTTCATAATTATCAGTGAAAACATGGAGGATTTTTTATAAACTCAAGAATTTGAAATGGCAGTGAAGGATAGCTGTTATTCTCGAGTAATTGAAGATTATTGAACTTGGATTTAGGAGTGCCATATTCTCCCATTTACTGTGTCTAGAAGTGTGACATTGAACAATCTGTAAAGTGAGGATATTGAAGTAGATGATCTTTTTTTTTTTTTTAACACTAAGCAACCTACAGTGTTGTTTTTTAGTAGATGATCTTTAATATCATTTTAGTAATATGATTCTCTGACTCTGGTATAGCTTAGGTTTCTACATGAGTTGTTACAATTCTTACAGTAGTTCCTTTGAGTGATGAGGCATATGATAATTAGACTATAAGAACTCCAGTGTCTAATTCTGGCAAGTTCCTGCTTTAGTGTGACCTTAGACAACCGGCCTAACTGGTTCAGCATCTTCCTTGTTAATATGGTGGTAATTATTTTGCTTTACTTTATAGTGTTGTAGTATTTAAAGTTGTTCGTAACTACTAAGTAATTCCCAGCTGAGTTATTTAATCCAGTGTGAGAGATGAAAACGGCTATGGAAATTTAGGATATTTGTCACTGACAATTCTATGATTAGTAGATATTTTTAGATGATAATTAAGGAAGACCAGTATAATTAGACTAAGAACATGACAGATCTTCCTTTGTGGGTTTCAGAATTGAAAACCTTTTAAAATTGTCTTACTTTATGAATAAATCTCTTCAAATGTAAGCTACTTCAGTAAGATGTATCAATCTCTAGTTCTTTTCCAGGTGTACAAGGTATACATTCACCAATATAGACAGTATGCTAGGCCACAAAACAACTCAGTAAATTTAAAGGACTAAGATAATATCAAATATGCTCTAAGAATATAATGAAATGAAATTTTAAAACAGGAAAATAAGATACCTAGGAAAATTCCCAAATATTTGGAAATTAAGCAAAGACACTTTTACATAATCTACGGCTTAATGAAATCACAAGGAAAATTTTTAAATATTTTAAACTGAATGACAATGAAAATACAATACAGTGTATCAAACTTGTAGAACACAGTGCTAAAAGGGAAACTTATAGGTCTAATACTTAGATTAGAAAAGAAAAATATCTAAATCCAATGTCTAAGGTTTCCACTTAAGAAGCTAGAAAAATGCCTGGCCGGCGAGGCTCAGTGGCTGAGTGTCAACCTATGAACTATGAGGTCACGGTTCGATTCCTGATAAAGGCACATGCCCAGGTTGCCAGCTTGATCCCCAGTGTGGGGTGTGCAGGAGGCAGCCAAACAATGATTCTTTCTCATCATTGATGTTTCTCTCTCTCCTTCTCCTCTCCCTTCCTCTCTGAAATTAATAAAAATATATTTTTTAAAAAAGAAGAAGCTAGAAAGAGAACTAAGTAAGCCCAAAATAAGTAGAAGGAAGGAAGTTATAAAGGTAAGGGCAGAAATCAATGGAATAAAAAACAAAATTAAGGATGTCAAAATTTGGTTTTTGGAAAAGATCAACAAAGTTGATTTCTTGATTAATCAAGAAAAAAAGAGAAAACAGATTACCAATATCAAGCATGATAAAGGGATTATTACTTGAGATCCTATTAAAAGGATAATAGAATATTATGAACTTTATGCCAACGAATCCATCAATTTAAATGATATGGATAAATTTTTTGAAAATTATAAGCTTACCAAAGCTAACACAATTTCTATTAAGTTTTTTTTCAAAAAATCTTACCCAAAAAAATGTCCAGGCTCAGGTTTTACTAGATTCTTCCAGGCATTTAAGGAAAAAGAGCACTTTTCAACTCAGACTAGTATATAGTAACACCAAAACTGGACAAAGATATTACAAAAAAGTTTATAGACTAATGTTTCTCATGAACATAAGATGAAAAATTCTTAAGACATTATTAGCAAATCAAATCCAACAATATACCAAAAGGCTAATGCATCATGGCTAAGCAGGGTTTGTTCCAGGAATACAGCTTGTTTTAAGATTGGAAATTTAATAAACATAATTTACCACATTAACATAACAAGAATAAAAACTATGTGATTATTTCAATTAATACAGAAAAGGCATGTGAAAAACATCCTTATCTGATTTAAAAAAAGGTTTGGGTTTGTTTGTTTGGGTTTGGTTTTGGGGTGTTTTTTTGTGTGTGGTTTTTTGTTTTTTGTTTTTGTGGTTTGGTTTTTTGTTTTGTTTTTCAGCAAACTAGGAATAGAAGGTAATCCCAATCTAATAAATTGCATCTATTTTTTTGTTTTGTTAATCCTTACCAAAGCATATTTTCCCCCAGTGATTTTCAGAGAGAGAGGGAGAGGGAGAAGGAGAGGTGTGAGAGAGACACATCAATTGGTTGTCTCCCACACGGAGATAAAGCCTGCAACCAAGGTATGTGCCCTTGACCAGAATTGAATCCGAGACCCTTGAGTCCACGGGCCAACGTTCTAACCACAGAGCCAAACTGGCTAGGGCTAAGTGGCATCTATTGAAAAGTACAATTGATGTTGTATTTAATGCCAAAATATTGAGCATTTCATCCTAAAATTGGGTAAGGCAAGGGTGCTCACTCTGGCCATTTGTATTCAACATCACAATGGAAGTCCTACCCGTTGAATTACAACAAGATATAGAAATAAAAGGAATGAAGTCTGGAAAAGAAATTGTTAAACTGTCTTAATTTACAGATGACATAATTGTTTACATAGAAAATGCTAAGGAATCTACAAAGCGACTAGGAGTAATAAGTGAATTTAGCAAGGTTATACAGGATATTAGGTTAATACACAAAACTCAAATGTTTTATTTATTACTAGAGGCCCTAGCAGCTGCCAGCTGCCAGCTGGGGCCTCCCTCCCTTCCCCTGGCCGGCCCCACCTCCTGGTCGAGGAGACAGTTTGCATACTACACTTTTATTATATAGGACTAGGGGCCTGGTGCATGAAATTTGTGCACTGGAGGGGTGGGGTTCCCCTCAGCCCAGCCTGCCCCCTCTCACAGACTGGGAGCCCTCAGGGGATATCCTACTGACGGCTTGGGGAGTGGGCCTAAGCCGCAGTCTGGCCTCCCTCTGCAGAGGCGACCAGGCTGATCAGGGAAAGGCGCCAGCCCCATCACCCCACTGCTG